GAGGAGTTGATGTTCTGCTCGTATACAGCGGTGAACTCGGTCTAGGTGAGGTATTTAAGTTGGAGCATCATGCCCAACGACTAACAACATGGGGCTATCGCTTTATGGGTTGGATACTTGTTTTCTTCGGTGTAACTTGCACATCTACACTTTTACATATTATTCGTGAGTATACTGAAAAAAAGATAAGTAGGAATTTAATTGATAATTATATTTCTTTATCTTGCAGTAAGTCATATTAATTTTCTCGCCGCATTGGCGCCGGATCCACTCTTTCCCGTTGGCGCCAACCTATTTCTGTCACTTTCAATCGCCTTGATCATTGCTTCCATCGCTTGGATATTGCATCGGCCAATGATTGGAGCTAGTTTATTATTTGCTGCCGCCTCACCTTTTGTGTGGTGTGCTCGTAGTGTAGCAAATTACCAACCCATGAACTAAAAGTTTTGATTTAGTTATTAAAGTTGAGCAACTGTCACATTTTCATACTAGTCATTAGAATAGATGAATATTAGTTAAAAGCAATAATTTGTGTTATTTATACAGACTATGTGCATACAAACATACATATATGTATAATACTTACGGTGACCATTCGTCCTGTATTATACGGTACAGTCCTCTTTTTTGACCAATTAGTTCTGGCAATTTATACGGGACGCCAAATGTTCTCTATTTCTTTGAATGCCCTGTATTTGTCCCGTAATCGGGGTTCGGTATTTCGACGCCTTCAAATCTCATTAAAATTACATGTCTATAAACCAGTTTTAAATGATGTTGGAATACGATCGTATGATCCATAAACAGTTATTATTTTCTAATCTGAATGCATGTGCTTCAAATCGAGGAACACATACAGCGATCAAAATATAAATTAGGATTCTACATTTTTAGCAAGGTTCGGCTATTTTTCTTTTGTTTATTTAATTTTTTTTTTCAAGTAAAGCTCTTTTCCTAACAAAAACCATATAAATCCAGATTCCCGACTTGGCAAAAACTATGAGAATTAATTCTGCAAATTTTCACCAAAATTTCAAACTTTTTAATCAGAAGCTTTAGAAAAAAAATCTGGTTGCAGTTTTGTAGCTCATTAAAATTGAGTATAAGGTATAAAGTACAAGTGCAACATGCTGATCATTTGCTTCCCTATCAACAAAATGTCGAACATAATAACTTTGTATGAAAAAAATGCGTAGCACCGTCGATAAAAAAAAATTCCCAAAAATTAACGGTAAGTCCTCGCTACTTAAACTTGCACTTTATCGTACTAAACTTTAAAGAAACTTTTGTAAAAAATTTTGTGGAGTAAAAATCTCCAGAAAGATTTCCGACAAATTTGTAATGTTACTATAAGGATGCTGGTTCAGGGCTAATACATACATCTAAGATCATTTAAGAATTAATTAAGATCTGTTAGCTTTTATGGAAGAAATTAGCAAAATTATTTTTTGTCCCATATTCGGCTCGCATAAATATGGTCACCGTAATAGTACTCAGCCAATTTTAAGTTCTTTAATTTTTAAATTTTAAGCATGACCAAACAATTTGATAACGAAAAAATCAAATATTTACTTGGTTAAAGAAGCAATGCATCTCTGGCTTAAAATATTAACTTTATCTTAAAGCTACAATGAAATTTAGTTCTGATAATTTTCGTATCTGCCCTCATTAACCGAATTTGCAGTGTTGGTATTTTCAGTCGGTCCAG